AAGAACCCTTTATTGCAATAATTAAAAAAACAACAACTGGTCAATATGATAAAACCAGCACAAGGCTATTTTACTATATGCAAGTAGATTTATTTTACAAAATTCAGGATGTTTTAAAACAAGCTGGGCCTAAGCAATGATGCCATTCCTATCCCTCTACTAGGGAATGAGGGAGGAAATAGTGTCTTCTGGATTAACAAAAACACCCTTTATTGCAATAATTAAAAAAACAACAACTGGTCAATATGATAAAACCAGCACAAGGCTATTTTACTATATGCAAGTAGATTTATTTTACAAAATTCAGGATGTTTTAAAACAAGCTGGGCCTAAGCAATGATGCCATTCCTATCCCTCTACTAGGGAATGAGGGAGGAAATAGTGTCTTCTGGATTAACAAAAACAACTCGAAGATCATCAGCAAACTGATGCCACTTCTTCCCCCAACTGATCAAACAATATGTTGAAGAGGAGCAAATCCAGGTTCCAGTCTGGTGATGACGAGAGATAAGACAGTGTCATAGCACTCCATGAAATCAGATTCAATAGTCTGCAGAGACATTTGCAACACATATCGGTCTAAACGTCTCTTGCGGGGAAACCTTGAAAATCACTTCCTGGTGCCAACTATGGTATATGTAGGACCTGATCTTAGTATAGAGCAGGGATGGGCAATAATTTTCGAGGGGGGTCACTTCATGGATTTTGGTACTGGTCACAGGCTGGCTCCACCCCTTACCCAGAATGGGTGGGGCCTAAGCAGAAGGGGCGGGGCTGGGGACTAGCCTCCCTGCAGAGTTGTCTGGGGCCGGAGGCTTTGAAGTAAAAACAGAGCAAAGGGCTGATGGCTCCCAGCCCCACTGCCACCATGTTGCCTGGCAGGCACCTGGGTTGCTGCTGCTATTTAAAGATCTCATGGCTCTGGCCCCTGCCACGGCAGTGCTGCGATTGGGAGCTGGGAGCCATTTAAATAGGATCCTACTGCCTGAGCTACCACCTGGAAATTTGGTGGCATGGGCAGCAAAATATAGATAGAAAGAAGCCAGATGCAGTTCACGGGCTGGATCAAAGTGTTAGGCGGGCCAGATACAGCCCTCAGGCCATCTCTTGCCAAGTTCTGATATAGAGGGATGAACACCTGGAAAAAGGTCTTCACATACTTCCAAACTCCAGGTGCATCTCAAGGATAAAATTCCAACAGTGCCTGCTAGAATAGCTAAGCCTGGAGCTCTCTGCAGTAGGTCTGCCCTTGTCATGGGAACAAAGAGATCCAGCACGAACAAACAAAAGAACTCACTGAAATCATCCACCCAGAACAATACAACTTGAGTGAACTGACCTTGTTTCTTCGGTGCCCGGGAGAATGTCCCTTTCACCACCTTGCAGTGGGAGTTATCTCCTCCACAGACACCGCACTTATCCTCCTGCTTAGAGGAACCTATGACCCTGTCACATCCAACTTTCTGTGAGCAGAAGAGAGACAATGATACTTGTTTATCCAAACTTTAACTCAAATGATCCTTGGCCTCGGACATCAAAACACGGTTTTAAGATTAAGCTAAAAAATTATAGTTCTTCCCTAAGAATCTACTGGCCAATGCACAAAAAGGTTCTAATGCGTTTTCAGTTGTCACAGTAATTGCAGCGCAGGTAAATACATTTTGTGATCCATTAGGCTCCTGTTTCAGGAAAGCATCGCTATGAAGTGGGGGTCAGCCACCACCTACTTAAAGTTAAACACCTGGAGGGATGCTTTGTTGAATCGGGGCTATAATTCAGTTGCAAACTGCAATTTCACAGAATGATGAATTACAGGCAGATCCTGATTTATACAAATTGTTGGTGATTATAGCCGGCTCAAAATACATACAGCATTCCCATCTGCTACCTTTCAACACCACTGTCTTCAAAAGTTGCTGCATGTTCATATTTTACTACCCATTCCATCGCCACCAAGCCTTCCATAGGAAAAGCTTCCCTGAAAGCTAACCATCGTGGTTCAGCTTGAAAAACGCTGCCACTACTACGGCTTGTGTAGGTAGATGCGGTTGGACTCAATTCCCAGGCAAAGCAACTGCAAATATCACACACAATATTGTGACAGTCATTCTAATGACATCTCTCTACTGCCCAAAACGTTACAGCGCTCACTTAAACATCCGTTTTCAGAGAAGAACATTCAAGTTCCTGTTCTAATGCTTTCAAGGCAGCAGCAAGCCTTGAGAAATGTTAGAAGTGCTGCTACTTACCAAACAATCCCCTCGCACGCAGATGCTGTACAGATCTTTATACGAGCAGCGGGTCCCATCGTGTACCATTCGTTTCATATACACGACGTCGCTGGTCTCCTTGGACTCACAGTACAGGTGGCACCTTTCTTTAGCTAGAAAGCAAAACACCCCGTGTTTTATTAGTCAACTTGAACCATTCGTGCGTGCAAGGTCTGAACGCCGGTTCGAATGGCTCTTGGCCTGTATCACCTTCTCTGCAGCCGTGAGCATGGTGTTTGCTCCCAGTAGAGATCCGCGCTATCAGCATTATTCTCTAAAGGCTTGGTTGGAAACTGCTGGGTAATAAAGACCTGGTGGATTGGTCTTGGGACTGTATCTTGCTCAGTGGCATGGGAACAATTTTTGGAGTGGGGGTGCTGAGCTGCAACCTCCTGACCTCTCTCCAGAACCTCACCGCCTCCTTAGAGCTGGGGTCAGCAGTCAGGACACTTGACCAGGACCCTACTGGGGACCAGCAGCTAAGTGAGCCCCAGGGCCGATGGCCAAGCCCCTTGTGCAAGGGAATGACAGCCGAGCAGGAATTGGGGCTGGAAGCGGAGACCCTCGGTGGGGAGCAGCTGGGCTGGCAGCCTGGACCCTGGATGGGAGGAGCATGTGGCCAGAGTGCCCAAAACATTGGGGTGCTGCAGCACCCCCACCCCCTCCTTGGTACTCTTCCTTCTCATAGCTGCAAGTCTCGGAGCCAGTCAGTTGGGCGGGTTTCACATCTCCACTGCTATTTTTAGTCACATAGCACAAGCCCTGCAAGCCTACGGCAGCTAACCCAGGCTCTGAGACCCACGGCTGAATCCATCATGTGCAGAACAGACATGTTACCGTGGCTCTGAGACCCACGCCCAGCAATCAGAACCAGGGTTTCCATGGCAATGTGGACGCTCAAGCAGGAATTGGAAACAGCGAGTCCACGAGGCCAGGTCCCACAGACCCCGGTTTACAATGCAGTGTAGACATACCCCAAAGAGGCCATTTTACTTCTTAAGAGGCTGCATTCTCTACTGTGTAAGCTGGCCTATGTTGGGGCAGTTCAGGACTGGAATGCTGCTTTGGCCACACTCTGTATAACACTGAAAAGGCAGATTTTGCCCTCGTGTATCTACAATGCTACACTGTATCTGACACTGGTTTCCAAAGACTATTGGACCACATGGTTTCCTCCAAAACAAAAATTTCTGAAGTGGCACCTGGTCAAAAATTATTGCCTACCCCTGTGCTGTAGAAGAATATTTCATACAAACAGGTTTGTGGGCCACACTGTTCTTCCCCCCACTCTGTGTGGAAGAAAATGGTCATCTTGAAATGAAACCATGAAGCTCTCTGCTTCTGCTCTTCTTAAAATCCCAGGTTGCACAAGAACTGAAGAAACAAGTAAAGCCAAAAAACAAGTTAAACAAAAGTGAGACTTACTTTAGGGAGCAATTCGGATACAACGAACATGAACAACACGGGCATTTTGCCAGCAACTCCTGGTTGCCATTAACTCTCTTTTTGAATGCATACTGATTGACGTTTCCTTTGTTGGGATCTGAGAAACCAGATGTGGCCAACTCTCGCAAAGAACTGATGTTCTGGCAACTGGGTTCCCTATTATTCACTCTTTGCTGAGGCCAAAATTTGAAAACTTGGCTGCCAGTTAGGATTCTTAATCCATACTAAGGAACTGAACAAAGTGTTCTGATTTTAAAGATGCGCAGCTGCTCCATTGACTGTCATAAAGTCATTTGCTTTTTATCTCACTCATCATATTTTCAATCCACTGTGGCAGGGGCAGGCAATGAAATGGCGGCAGTTCATCAGAGTTAATCCTTGGCAGGTTGTCACTGCTATACTAACCTGCGTTTCCGTAGGTACAGGTGATTGCTAGGGATGTTAAATATAGTTTAATCAACTAATCGACTAGTCGATTAGTTGATAAGCAAGGGAGCCGCAACAGGGTTAGCTCCCGGTCCCGGCAGCTAAACCCAGAAGGGACCCAGTGTGAGCCGGGACAGCTGATTGCTGGCTGGTAGGCTCTGAATACATTTAAAAAGCAGAGGCACAGAGAGGGGGACTGGGCACGAGTCAGGAATCAGCTGATTCCTGGCTCGCGCCCGGTCCCCTCCCCTCTCCTGCCCTCTGCAGAGACAGTGTTGGGGGGAACTGGCTTTTAAGCCAGCTCTCCCAAGCACTGGCTCCTGCTTCCCCTCTTGTTGATTCTGTTGGGGAGGGAAGTGACTAGTTGAGGAACTAGTCTCCTATCTGATAAGCTTTTGCTTATCGGATAGTCGACTAGTCAACTAGTCACTTACATCCCTAGCGATCACAGCTCCCATTGGCTGCAGATCGCCATTCCTGGCCAATGGCAGCTACGGGAAGTGGTGGGGACTGCGACATCACTTTGACTTAAGATATGTAACTCCAACTACGAGAATAGCTGATGAGAGAAAATCTCCCACTGACTTCCCTTACTCCTCATTACCCTGTGAAGTACTGGGGTCAACGGGGATGCTATCAGCAGTTGATTTAGCAGGTCCTTACAAGACCTGCTAAATCGAACTCTGGAAGATCAATCGCTGGAGCGACAATCTCGGGGTAAGTATAGGCCTGGCCCAAGACAACATTAGATCAAGATAGAGAATTACTAACCATCGACATGCTCATATGGGAGCCAATGGTGCTTTGTATTTTGATATTCAAAATAAGGATCCCATTGTCTGCACTGTTCCTCTCTGAAGTCATCAAACTCCTTAGAACAATCTTGAGTGTTGCAAAGCTGGAACTCATAGGTTGGCCCCGAGCATGTACGGCCTCCGTTAGCTGGGCTGCGAATAGGAAAGAATTAATGGTTAACTATAGCGTTAATGAGTAAAGCAAGGGGGGGTGTTTTGTTTTTAGAAATCCCTTAGGGACTCTTTCAACTTCCATTGATGTTAATAATACAATAATGTTTACAAAATATCTGTGATGTATTGTATTGTTACGACCAACTTCAGTGGTTCAGACAAAATGTGGGTCATTAGAAATTTTGGCAGCATCTAGCCCAGGGGGTCTGTCTCTCAGGCTAGGTCTACATATATAGCGCTGTGCCGTGTACGGACACTCCCCATGCAGCTCCATGCCACAGGGAAAGTTCTGTCAGCGGGGAAAAGAGCAAGGAAAATCTCTGGTTACTCCCCATTGCCAGAGCTTTTCCCCACTGCTGGAGCCTTTCACTAAAAATACCACTCAAGACATGGGAGGGACCCTGGGGTTGAGGCATGTACGGCTCTCTTCTCTATTCCCCTAAGCTGTGCCTCGCCATTTATACTGCTATTGTACCAATGCTGGGCATGCAACAGTCTTTATCAGCAACTTAACAGCAACCCCCCCATAATCATTCATGGTATATAAAGGAAAACCCCCAGCTCCCGCTGTATGTTGAACTCACTGTGGATTGTCACATTGCCGTGTCCTGTATTTTACCCCTGTACCGCAGGATCGAGAACAGGAGCCAAACTTACTCCATGCCCCCCAGTTTCCATCCTGTTTCAAGATATCTGGAGTTAACCAGATGCAGTGACCTTTAAAGCAGTGCTAAAAGAGAACAATGAGAAGGATTAATGTGACGTAGCTGTCACCTTGATAAAGTTGAGCGCCTATTCAGAGTACTTGGCTATTATTACGGCGCATGAAATCTGAAAATAATACCCAGGTTTCGGTTGCAGGCACAGGTTAAGAATTTCTTCACTTCTCCAGAAGATAAGAATGAGTCCACACTGCCCTGATGTGTCTATGGTTCCAATCCTGCAAACATACCCATGTTTAACTCTACCTATCATAAAGAAATGCATGTGCGTAAGTTCTTGCAGGATTGAGACCTAAGTGTGTACCAGGTCTAAGTGTGTATATTGCCCCTCTATTGCCTGGAATGTCAAATCTCCTCCAGAATGTTATGGCTCCATCTTATGGCTGCAACCTAACTTTACAACAACTAGTGGTAGAAACTTAAGCTTTTGGAACCAAAAATCCAAAGTCCTGGTTCTCATAGCACAGATGCACTCGGTTTATCTGGCCATGGATGGGGATTCTTTTAGCAACATAGTGTCCTTACAGTACATAAAATATTGTGTGCAGAGGAGGGAAAGGTAGCACCCCTCCACCCCCTACATTGTTTAGGAAGCTTTAAGGTGCACAATTACTGTCAGAAGATGTCTAACCTTCAAGCAAGGGACGTGATTACCAATTCCAGGAGACACATCCATGCTCCCTCTGACCAAGAGAGCATTTTAGAGCACAGAGATGGCTGCCCCAACTATGATCCCATTCAAGACCATAGGCAGATAGTCAGGACTAATGTTCCCTCTAATTTTTAAACCTACGTGCAGAATAAATGTTGTTATGTGCACCAAGGTATGTGCACCATCAGTAGAAACACATACTGGCTACATCTAGACTGCAGCACTTTTCAAGATACTGGAGGTATCCCAGAAAAGCAATGTCACGTCCAAGGAACATGTCCACTTTTCGGAACATTTTTTTGGAAAAGCGGATGCACTCTTTCGCCATACCTGCAAAACTCGTTCTACGAGGCATAAGGGATGAGTCGAAAGAGCAGGTTTTTTCGAAATTTAGCACCAGGTAGACGTGCCAAATTTCAGAAAAGCCTCTTTAGAAAGAAAAGCAGAAAAAGCACAGTGCCGTTTGCAATTTGCGTATCTTTTTCCAACTTTTCTTTGTAGTCTAGACGTAGCGGCTGTCTGCTGTAGGCACGCTGCAAATCAGCTGGTGGCATTTCAATCTATCCTGGGTGGCCACCTAAGCGCTCAGCTTACAGGGAACACCACTCAGGACTGGCAGCTATCTCATTGCTCATGTGCTGCACCCACACTCTGTTTTTAGTGCATTAGCTTGATGAGAAGTAGCGTAGGTATGTCTCCTCAAGTCAGCCATCACAAAGCCAAACATACTGGAAGAGATATGGCATTAAATAAACAATACTTAGCATTTAGATGCACAGTACCAGACATTAACTAATTATTCCTCACTTCAACCCTACAAGGTAGATAGGTTTTATTATCCTCAAAATACAAGTGGGAAAAAAGACTCATGTAAAGAGGCAGAACAAGATTAGAACTCAGGGCCATTTTACTCCCAACCTTGTGCACATTCCTCTAGACCACATTTTAATGGATAACTTTGCATAGTGAAATCATTAAACCTCGAAGTATTTTTCCAAAGGCAGTGGGGAAAGTAGAGAACAAGTCTCAAAAATCATACCTTAGAGAAACTAATCTCTGACCTAAAAGGTTTTCTCTGTCTCTGTTGCTACATCTACACTGCACAAAATTTTTGGTTGTGTTAGCTAACCAAAAGACAGTGAAACGTGAACCCTGTCCACATTACATGTTAGTGAAAGGCTCCAGCAGGCAGTGGAGAAAGGGTTCAGTTATTTCCCTGGCCATGTCTTCATTAAACGAAAGATTGACACTGCTGCAATCAATCTTCCGGAGTTCAATTTAACGGGTCTAGTTAAGACCTGCCAAATCAAACTCAAAGGGTACTCGCCATCAGTGGCTGGTACTCCTGCTTCTGGGAGAAGTAAGGAAAGTCGGTCGGAGCATTTGCTCCTGTAAGCCTCCCACTGTGAGACGGTGGGGAAATTAGAAACAAGGTACGTTGACACCAGCTGTACAATTAATTCACTCAGGCTGCTGCAGAGTTCTACACCCCCATCCAGCAGGACTCCACACCCCCCGCGGTGACACTTTTCTATGCACCGGCCTCACTTCAGCCACAGCAGGACTCTGTGGTCCCAGCCAATAGGGCTCCTCGCTCCCCACTGTTAGCCCATTGGTCAGGCTCCCTGCCTCCAGACCACTGGTCCTGTGGGCTGCTAGTCACTGGCAACCTCTCTGTCTAGGGCTTTTTGGTCCTGTGACATTCATGGTCTTGCTGGACGACAGGTGTTGCTGGACCATACAGGTTCAATGTGTATAGCACAACATTGCATAGCACAGGTCCTAAAAAGTTTGAAAGCTGCACCCTTGATAAACACCAAAAAAGTTTCTATCTTTTCAACTTCCTCCCTGCCCTCTTCAAAAAGACCCCTAATAGGTCAAGGCCAAATTCTCCAGTCCTTAAGAAAGATTCCCACAGAAGTTAATGGGAGTTTTTCCTCGGTTAAGAACAGCAAAATTTGCCCCTT